CACCACACCTGGCCCTTGTTAATACGTTTTTAACATCATAAAGTACCACAAACTTCTAAGAGATGGGTTCTATAAACATTTTTTTCATTTCTTTTTATTAGTACAAGTTTATTGTTCATAGTGATCACACTTATCATGGGGAGGTAGTATATGTCCATAACACATTGTAATTCTTTTTAATTTCCCTCTCCCTCCCCTTTCTCTTCCCCTTTTCCATCTGTAGATGCTGTTCTTATTTGTAAAAGATTTATCTCCCTATTTCCTATTTTATTTTGCTCTTTAAGTTGTTTATACTTTGTGTTTCTCATGATAAAAACCATGTGATATTTAAGCTTGTGTGTCTGATTTATTTTACAACATTACGGTCTCAAGGTCCCTCAGTTTTCCTACAAATAATTCAAGTTTATTTTTTCTTGTGGTTGAATAGTATTTCATTGGGTATAAATACATTTTCTTTATCCATCTGTTGATGCACATACAGGCCACTTTCAAGATTTAGCTATTATGAGTTGTACTACAATAAATAAGAATATGAATGTACCACTGTAATATGATGTCTTTAACTCTTTCAGGAAGATAGCTAGAAGGAGAATAGCTAGGTCAAATGGAATTTCTATTTTTGGTTTTTTTTGAGACATCTCCATGCTGACTTATGTAATGGTTGTTCTGGTTTATATTCCAACCAACATGGTAAAAGGGTTCCTTTTTTCCTTACAGCCTCAACAGCATTTATTATTTGATTTCTTGATGACAGCCATTCTTTCAGGAGTAAGATAGAATCTCAGTTTTCTTTCAATTTGCATTTCTTTAATGGCCAGAGATGTTGAACATTTTTTCTTGTATGAGAAATTTCTATTCATTTCTTTTAAACATTAATTAATTAATTATTTTTGGAGACAAGGTCTCGCTGTATAGTTCAGACTGGTCTTGAACTCATTATGTAGCCCAGGCTGGCCTTCAACTCACGGCAATCCTCCTGTCTCAGCCTCCCAAGAGCAGGGATTACAGGCATGTGGCACCAGGTCTGGCTGTATTCATTTCAGCTGCCCATTTTTTGATTGGGTCTAATTTTTTGAATTCTTTATATAATCTAGATAGTCTTCTGTCCAAGGAGTAACTGGCAAAATTCTTTTTCTCATTTGTAGTTTGTCTCTTCATTCTATTGGTTGTTTGCTATGCAGAAGCTTTTTAATTAGATATAGTTTCATTTGTTGATTCTTAAATGTTATTTCTTGTACAAAGGGGGTTTAGCTTGGAAAGTCATTACCTGTGCCTGTGTCTTCAAGAGTTTTACCTGTTTTATTTTCCAGCGAATTCAGTGTTTCTGTTTTGGTATTTAGGTCTTCAATGCATGTTGATTTTGTTTTAGTGCATGGTGAGATATATGGGTCTAAATGCAATCTTCTGCATGTGGATAGCCAGTTTTCTCAGCACCATTTATTAAAGGAGCTATCTTACCTCCAGTTTATGTTTTTGGCCCCTTTGCCAAAGATCAGATGTCTGAATGTACCTAGGGTTGTTTCTGCATCTTCTATTCTGTTCTGTTGATCTACATAGCTATTCCTAATGCCAGTACCATGCTGTTCTATCACTGTACCTTTGTAATATAAGTAGAAGTCTGGGATTGTGATGCCTCCTGCTTTGGTCCTGTTGCCCAGGATTGCTTTTCCTATTCTGGGTTTCTTCTGGTGCCATGTGAATTTTAGAATTGCTTTCTCCAGTTCTGAGGAAACTGTTGATATTTTGATTGGGATTGCATTAAATCTATATATCAGTTTTGGAGGTATGGCCATTTTGACAGTATTGGTTCTGCCGATTGAGAAACAGGAAATATCTTTCCATTTTCCAATATCCTCTTTGATATCTTCCTTTAAGAGTATTATACTTTCCATTATAGAGGTCTTTCACTTCCTTGTTAGGTTAATTCCTAAGTTTTTAATTTTTCTTGAAGCTATTGAATGTTATTTTCTTCCTAATTTCTTTTTCAGTGTTCATTATTGGTATAGAAGAAAGCTATTGGGTTTTTTTTTGTGTTGATTTTGTTTCCTACTACCTGGCTGAATTTGTTTTCTAGATCTAGGATTCTTTTGGTGGAATTTTTTTGAGTATTCTATGTAAAGGATCATGTCATTTGTAAATAGGGATAGTTTGACTTCTTTTCCTGTATGAACCCTCTTTTCTTCTTTTGTCTGATTGCTGTAGCTAAAGTTTTGAGTACTATAGTGAATGAAAGTGGTAATAGTGGACATTCTTGTCTAATTCTGGTTTTCCCCATTTAATATGATGTTGGTAGTGGGTTTGTCAGATTGAGATAAAATCCTTCTATACCCATTTATTTATTTATTTATTTATTTTTATCAAGAATGGGTAGTGTATTTTCTCAAAGGCTTTTTCTGCACCTATTGAGATGATCATGTGATTTTGGGCTTCTGTTTATGTGATGTTATATTTGTTGATTTGCATATATTAAACCATCTTTGCATCCCTGAGATAAAGCCGTCTTGTCATGATATATGAGTTTTTGATGTATTCTGTTTGCCAGAATGTTGTTGAGGAGTTTTGCATCTATGTTCATTAAATGATTGGCCTGTAGCTTTCTTTTTCATTTAAGACTGTGTCTGCTTTTGGAGTCAAGGTAATACTAGCTTCCAGGAATGAATTTGGCATTACTTTTTACCTTTGAATTTCATTTGAGTTTGAGATATGTTGGCATGAGATCTTCCCTAAAGTTGTGGTAAAATTCAGTGGCAAATCCATCAGGTCCTGAGTTTTTCTTAGTAGCTTTTGCTTTACTGCCTCAATTTCATTGTCTATTATTTGACTGCTCAAGGCTTTTATATCTTCTTATATCTTCTGGTTCAGTTTTAATAATTCATATGTACCTAGGAATCTATCCATTTTGTCCAGATGGTCCAGATTTTGGAGTACAAGTTTTTGAAGTAGTTATTAATAATTTTCTGGATTGTGATGGTATCTATCATGATTTTGCTTTTTTCATTTACAATTGCATTGGTATGGATCTTTACTTTTTTTGATAAGTTTGGCTAAAGATTTGTCTATTTTGTTTGTTCTTTCAAAGAACTCGTCTGATTCATTGTACTTTTTTTTAGTCTGAGTTTCACCTCTGATTTTTATAATTTCTTTCTTTGTACTGGCTTTGGATTTAGATTGTTTTTGTTTTTCTGGGACCTTGAGGTACAACATTAGGTTATTTATTTGGGCTTGCTCTGTTTTTGTGATGTGGGCATTCACAAGTATAGACTTTTTCTTAGGACTACTTCCATTGTGTCCCATAGGTTTTGTCATATTGTATTGGTATTATCATTTAATTCTAAAAACTAATTTCTTCCATGATTTCTTCTGTGACCCACTGATTATTAAGGAGTGTATTGTTTAATATATGTTTGCATAATTTCTGTGGTTTGTTTTGTCATTGATTTCTCATTTCATTACACTATGGTCTGATAGTGTAATTTTGATGAGGGAATTTCTGGGCATGAGGTAACTTTGATTCTTTTGTACTTACTTAAGCACGCTGTGTGAGCTGGTATGTGATCTGTTTTGGAGAACGTTTTGTGTGAAGAATGTGTGTTCTGTTGAGTGGAACTCTAGATATCTATTACGTCCATGTATTTGAAGTTGTGGTTCAACTCTGATATTTCTTTGTTGATTTTTTGTCTGGTTGATCTGTTTATTTGTAATAGTGGCATATGGAGGTACTCCACTGTAATTATGTTGATGTTTATGTGATCTTTTATGTCCCATAGTGTTTGTTTTATGAAATTGGTACGTACATATTTATAATTTATATCTCTTCCTATTGAATTGTTCCCTTAACCAATATGTAGTGACCGTTTTTGCTTCTTCTGGTCAGTTTTGGCTTGAAGTTCACATTGCCTGAAAATAGGATAGTTGTTGCTGCTTGCTTTAAGGGTCCCATTGCATGGAATATTGTTTTCCATCCTAGATGTTTAGTTTGTGAATTTCTTTTTGGATTAAATGTTTTTCTTGTATGCAGCATATCACTGAGTTTTGTGTTTTGATCCAGTCTGCCAGTCTGTGTCTTTTGATTGAGGAATTGAGATCATTCACATTGAGTGTTACTACTAAAATGTATTGACTCATTCCTGACATTGTGTTATTTTTCAATTGATGATTCCTTTTATTTTTTCCTTAACTGCTCCCAAACTCTTTTTGATGTATTCATTCCATTAGCATTTTGGACCTTCATTATCTGTCTGAGATATCCTTGAGAGGTTTTTGGAATGCTGGTTGGTGGTTATGAATTTTTGAAGGTTCTCTTTGTTTTGGAAGGTCTTTATTTCTTCATCAATTTTGACAGTTTTACAGAATTTATTAGTCTGAGTGAGTTATTTTCTTTTAGAGTTTGAAACACTTCACTCCAATTTATCCTGGCCTGTAAAGTTTGTGTTGAAAAGTCTACTGGAGTTCTAATGGTTTTATCTTTATAAATGATTTGTTACGTTTCTCTAACAGCTTTTAAGAGTCTGTCCCTGTGTTGGACTTCTGGCATTTCAACTACAGTGTGTCGTGGAGTTCTTTTCTGTTTTTAATATGTGAATTATAGAGTATTCAAAAATAAGAAATAATATGGCCCATGCTTTTATCAATGCTATTATTATAGGTGTAATAAATGTTAATAATAAATGCAGAGGTAGATACCTAATAAGAAGGCTTAATTTAATAAGGTAAGGTCAGTTGGATTTGAAAACCTTATGGATCTCATGTTTTATTTAAGTGATTTCTGATTTTTTAAAAGTAAATATTGGACTAGAGATGTAGTTTAGTAGTAGAGTGCTTGCCTTAAAAAGGTAAAGATTGTATTCAGAACTCTGAGAAGTAGGTATGATTTTTTTTAAGAGTAATTTTAAGGTTGTATTTTTGACAGTGCACCTTCTATAGTTATAACAGATTCTTTGTAAGAAGGCAATAGAAATGTTTGGAATTAATGAGTTCTTTTTAAAAAAAATTTTACTCAGGTTCCAATAGTTGCACTCACTGCTACTGCAAGTTCTTCGATCCAGGAAGATATTATACATTGCTTAAAACTGAGCAATCCTCAGATTACCTGTACTAGTTTTGATCGACCAAATCTGTATTTAGAAGTTGGACGAAAAACAGGGAATATTCTTCAAGATCTACAGCCATTTCTTGTCAAAAAGACAAGGTAAGAATTTTGGTAGCTATTTCCTTCTTTTTAGAAAATGTTTTACTTTACTTTTTCAAATTATTTCCTTCAGCTGGGCATGATGGTGTATACCTGTACTCCTAGCACTCAAGCTGTGGCAGGAGGATGGCAGTAAGTTTAAGGCCAGGTGATGTACACAGCAGGACCCTGTCTCAAAACAAACAAACAAACACATTAATTTTCTTTAAATACATGTTTAACATATTTCAGGATTCTTTCTCGCTGTGGTTCAAGTGTAGTATTACACAATTTAGTGACTAAAGAAAAGTGTATTTTTGAAGGCAGGAAGCAATTCTGCTATTTTTATATTGTATACTGTTGCTCTTAATGATTGACTAGTAAACATAAAAGGAGTCCTTCATCTGAATCCCATCTGGTTTGCTAATTGAATGAATGACTTCAATTTCAGGGATTTTATAAAAGGTCATCCTGTAAACAAGTTGGAGCCTCTATCATATTCCAAGGAACATCCTAGACACTATATGTGAACTACTTTAATCCTTGTAATTGCTCAGGATGCTACATATATTTTTCATCTTACTGACAAAGAATTTTGTCATTAGAACGTTTGTCTATTTTGTGAAAAATGCATTTATAAATATACTAAGAACCTTTACTAAGCCTTATTCTCTTATCTGTTTGCTCATTGTGAAGTTTATACTATTTTTATGTGACGAAGTGTATTTTTTAGTTAAGATACATTAAAATAATGTTTTTCTTACCATTACAAACACAAAACAAATCCAGGCAAACAGAATATTAAGAGCATGTGGTGTGTTCTTCAGAAAGGGATAAAAATAAGAGAAGATAGGTCCTAAGTTAAGGAATGCCTATAGTTATTCTTGATGACCTTTTGGAATAATTTAAATGTAGGACTTGCTACAGGCTTAGTTGCCTTTGTTTAGAATAGAAGCAGAAGGAAGTAGATATATTCTGTGTGTCATGGCTGCCCTAGTGGTCTCTTTGGAGGGAGTGCTCATTGTGCTTCACTTTCCTTCCATCCTAATGGGAAAATGTTCTCTTGCAGATGGTTGTTTTTTCTAGGTTAGATGTCTCCAGTCAGATCATTATCTAACCTGTAATCTTTGATTGTCTTCTGTCTGTATAGTTGTCAGTTTCTGTTTTTTTCTTCTCATGATGACCCTCTTGTTTTGAAACAGTTTGCCTTTTCTGTTTTGGTGACAGTTTGTTTTCCTATTTTTCTGATAGTTAGCCTTATGATATGCAAATGTTTCCTTCTCAGTATTTTTTATGTTAATTTTCTAATTGCGGAGTTACTTTTTAGCCTGGACTATTATAATCTCTTTTTTTTTGTATTAAATTCTTTTATTGGTACGTTGTAGGTATACAACACAATTACAATTCTCATTGGGAATTGTACCTTTACATAATGCATTTTGGTTCTTATTTTTTCCCCATTCCTAGCCCTCCCTTCACACCCTCCACCCTTCCCTATT